TCCACTGGAACTTCTAAGCGAAAGGCCGATTTTAAAAGCTCACAAAAACAGGTGAGCCTTTTCGCACTTCGTTTCTAATTTTTGAATTTCGAACTAACGTTGTGCCGACAGGAAGGGTTCGCAAATATCGCGCAACATCAAAATGTCTTCTTCCAACCATACTCTCGTCATTTATACTTTCGATGTAATCACCCACCTGAATGTTAAATTTATGCTGTAATTTTTGTTCGGTAGCAAATGCTAAATGGGAAGTTCGGAGCTCAACTGGGCGCAAAGTTTGTGGTCGTACACGGTCGAAACACATATCTTCAGAATTTGAGCTTCTTAACTCTTGTGGTTTCGACGTTCGAATATATTCTTATACGTACACACATACGTATAACACAGACAAACACTCCTGCTTTAATGCATTTTCTTGTCACCGGTGATGCAAAAACACGTAAATAACGTGAACGGTTGCGTTAACAAGAGATTGCGAACCGCCCTACTGTTTCCGAGACACACTTTTACTCCCTCCTCCCCCCCAGCCATTGTTAAACTTTTAAGGAGTCAAACGGAGTTCAAGCAAGTGAAAATTTTTTCTTACCTCAATTGCCGGGTTTGCTTTTGCTGTAACAGTTCCGGCAGCAATGCGCTTGATGAAGGCTTTTCCCACTCCATTATCGGTTATTATCAAACCCAGTGCTCTGGAAACTCATTCTGCGACAGCGACGATACACTCGGAACAAATGATCAAAAAAAAAATCCCAGAAAAGTGTTAAAGCCGTGAAGTAATAATTAGCATCTGTGAATTACCAGTTAAGTATAAAATGAAATGTAGGAGAAAGCGTATACAAGGACGGAATCTACACAGGAATGTTTCAGTCCATTAAACCGTATACATTCCTTTTCAGCACCACAACAGCATTTTATTTTTTGTTTTTTTTTTTTTTAGTTTTTATAGACGCTTTTATAGCCTGAGATAGAACCAAAGAAAAACTGTTATTTTCTAACCCCTTTAAAAGCGCTTTACAAATAAACTGAGGAAGTAACTTTTTTTTACCCTCGACAATTTATAAATTCTCATCTTCCTCAGGAAGCAAAATGAAAAATAGAAAAGGGAGATTTTCAATTTTGCCCATTTTTGGTAAGATGTTTGAGTTCTAGAAAACTATTTTTCTAGGCTGACTGACCAGTTTGATTTTTGAATTTTTTACCAGAGAAATATTCCACTACTGCCGCAGGTCAGTGTACTGTCGAGAATAGCTACTGGAGAATACCCTGTATCAATCAGAAATCATGTTGTTGCTTGACCCGCAATCCAAAACCAACGGCTGCTAAGCAAGGAGTTGAGTTTCTCTCGGTAAAGTACTGTGTACTGGATTCATGATGTTACTCGAGCTACCACGATACATGTGTGATGTTCCTGGCTCCATTCCTTGCGCGGCTTTCTCACCTCACACCGGTTTCTGTGATATTTCATGGGAAAAGTAGAAGTTTGTGAAATGTGTGTGAAATATACGGTTCACTTTTGACCATTGTAACTTGCTTCTTCTGTCCCGCGACATGTGCAAAGATGAAATCATTGGTGCTAATAGAACAGGAGAGCAGGTGGTTCATAGAA